GTGTGTGTGTGTGTGTGTGTGTGTGTGTGTGTGTGTGTGTGTGTGTGTGTGCTATAACTTTAAACTTACCATTTCAGAATTCACACACAATTAGAGTCAGGATTCATATATACATACATGGTCACATATACGTGTATATATACACACATGAAAGCTATGTGGGAGAAAGTGGCAATATAAAATAGCAGGATTAAAAAGTATATGTTACATCTACCATTTGGGCAAATCACCTAAGAAATATATATATATACACACACATATTTTGAGTTATATATATATATATATTACATATTTATAAGAAGGAACTCAAATATACATTTGTAATAGTAATATATAATCTTGGTTTCTAAGATAGGTCACTTAAACTTTCTAGGCCTTAATTTGTTCATCCATAAAAATATATGCACATACACACACACACACCCCTTAGATATATACATATGTGTATGTATGCACGTGTATATACATACACATATACATACACCTCTGATATTGGTATGTATACATATGTGTGTAAACACACACACGAGAAAGCTGACTCAGTTTTGTGTAAATTTTCAGCTGGTAAGCTCAAAGAAGAAAGGCAATGCAGCACAACAGGTGGAGGGCTGGCCTTGGAGTTAGGAATACCTGGGTTCAAGGCCTACCTCTGACATATATTGCCTGTATCCCGGCAAGTGCCCCAGGCAGCCCTCCAGGACTTTAAGTTAAAGACCAACTGAAGATCTTCATTAGTGGAGGGAGCTTCCATATCGGGAGTTCTTGACACAAATGAAATCAAAGGTCTGGAACAAAAAGTACTTAGTTCCATATAACATCAGAGCTGGAAGGGACCTTAAGAGCTCACCTAGATCAACCCTTTCATTTTAGAGAAGAGCAAACTGGTTACCTGAGAGATGATCAGCTCAAACAGTAGATGTCATATATACATTTTTTCCCTGCTATTATATATTGCCAACTTCCCCACTCACTCTGCACATTTCCCAATCCCTTCAGAATAAACCCTCTTTAACCTAAGAAATTAGGAAATGAAGAAAACCCTGTAATAGGTAGGCTACAGTGTGGCAATTCTGGCAAGGAAAAATGGATGGTAACTTAAAACCTGAAGTACTAGTGAGCTGAATCTGGGCTAGCTGAAGGAAAAGATGATCTCCAGGGACTTGATTAATAAAAGCAATTTCTTGAATGAGGAAGTTGACAGTACTACTGTCATCTTCCTGGGGGGGAGGGGAACTAAACAAAAATGACCAATAGAACATACACATGCAAGGGAAAAAAAACTGACAAAGTATAATTATATAACCTAATTCTTTCACTTTTCTAGAATTTGGTTCTTAAAATTATAAATTAGTAAGACAGGCAAGTTATTTCTTTCTACACTGGTGAACTTCAACACAAATTCTTCACAATTTATTTGTAAAATCCTCAACCCTTAGAACATCCATGACTATCTTGGCTGTGAAGTTCCTTTAAACTTGAAAAGATTTTTGTTTTCATGTTATGAGCATTTTTCTACTTGTAGGTTTCTCAACTGATTCAAGGAGACTATACACAAGTGTTAGTTTTTTGGTTTGTTTGATAAATCTTGATTAAGTTCCTCACGGTGCAGCTTGCTCGGACGGTGGCAGAGAAGCTACGAGGCAGGAAGTCTTGGGCTCAGTTCTGCCCATTGAGCACAGAGGCTGAGAGACTCTGGACGAGTCACTTCACCTCTCAGTGCTCCAGGCAACTCTCCAATATCATAAATTGCAAACCAACTGCTGTTCTGCATTGGTAGAGAAAGTTCCCGTGTTAGGAGTTCTCTACACCAATGAAATCATAAGTTCGGACCAAAAAAATTTTTAAATGCTACTATGTAACACAAAAGCACATATCCATTTTTAGCCTTGCAAACTTTCCTCTGGTAGCAAGTGAATATTTAATGAAAAATATTCCTATTATATATCAAAGTATTAAAATTAGTACTTTGGCATATCAGTGCCATCTGCTGGAAAGTTAATACAATGAAATTATCAAAATACCTGAGTTCCTTTTTGATTTCCTAAAGAGATAAATGTGCTTTTTGATGTTCTTTAAATTAAAAACTTTTTAATTTCTATTAGGAAATACTAGCAGGCTTTTAAAAATACTTATTTCACTATTAACATTTATCAAATACCAAATGTAACATGCAAGAAACATTGGAATGGTAATATAGACCCCTCACATTGAATTTAGAAGGAACTCAAATACTTATTGTTAGTGTGTAAACTTGGTTTCTAAGTTAGCAGGTCACCAAACCTCTCTGAACCTTAATTTCCTCATCTGTAAAATGAAGGGGTTGGAATGGATAATCGGTAAGGACTTTTACTGCCCTGTCAATCTATATTCTAAAGTCCTTCCATCTGCACTGTGCTATACTTTATTTACCTTTTTACTAAAAGATAGTACCTATTCAAAGAGGACACCAAGTTATTTTCTATAACCAAATGACTACAGCAAAATAAGTGCATGGATTATGCCTTTTTGATAATGCTTTCATTGAAAAGGAAGCATGGTTAATGCAACTGGAAACCATACATTATAATCTCACTTTTTACAATTAATTTCTCATCGGATGTACTCTTCACTATTGTTACCCATGTAGTGGGGATACCAGCACAAAGCATTCTCAATAGAAATAGACATACAATTGTAATTAACCCTGTAAATAAAAATGTGAAATTAAAAATTCTATATGATAATATAGAAACATACAAAGATTGCTTAACTGACTTTAATAAACAGGACATAAAGACCCTAATCTTGAAATTATTATGCAAAATACACAGATGTATACTGCTTTTTCTTGAAAAAATATAAAATAAATAAGCAAGACATGTGAAAATAGGCAAGTTTTCATTAAATAAAAGACTGAAATTTTTTTAAAGAAAAAATGTTGATTTGATTTCAACATCATATGAAGAATGGAATTCATTGTTACCAATATTCAAGTTTATTAAACAAATAAAAAATTTATATTTAGAAAACTTTTAACTGTCATCTGCTTCAAGGTTTATGTTGCTCCCAAATTTTGCATATAACTGAACTTTCAAATCAGCTAACACCCGCTGGATTGATTCAACTCTGGATTCTAATGCTTCAATTTCATCTTGCAAATTTTTCTGGAAAAGGAAAAGATAACTGGTTAGTAGCAATTCCATTCAAATTATTGTTAGGTGATTTCTGAAGAACTACACCAGAAATAATATTTGAAAGTTAAAACGTATGAGAAGCAAATGAACATAGCAATTTGGTAATTAGATTCAAATACATCACCATTTTCAGAACTAAGAGCCTTGAAATAAATTTTAGTCATGGTTATATGCTTAACTATTTCAGAAGATATAATGGTCAATTTTAATTTTTTAAGATCAATATACAAAAACATAATGTCTAGAATTATACTGCAAACAAAAACACACACACACAAAGATTCCTAACATACCTTAGCTTCTTCCAACATTTCTTGAGTTTCATCTTGAGAGTGGCTAATAAAAACATCACCAATTTGATAGGGAATCATTAAAGAATCTTCATCCATCATCATTATATCATCACAAGCATCCTCTAAATTTTGAAGTTGTTTCTATAAATTCAAGACAAACAGTAAAAAGGAGAATTTTTAAATTAACTATTACAAATACAAGTAGCAAGTAACTTTCACTTTGAGACAACAGGGTTTTAGTTTATAAATGATTATATCTCCAAAGGTTAATTAAAAATTAAATGTAAGAATAAAATCCTAAATGATCAACTTTTAAGATGATTTTAAAAGTGAAACTTTATTCAAGATATTAATACCATAATTTCCTCTAGATTTCTACATTCATTTTCTGAGTTCACAGTATTTAAAAAAAACTATAATGCAAAACTAAAATTACATTCATTTTTTCCAACTAGGAAGTTTAATATTTTCCTAATACCTTTTTAACGTCTATTTCTTCCTTCAGTTCTGTGATTCTACTAGTATTCCGTGCAAATTTGTTAATCTTTTGTTGGTCTTCAAAAGTAACATTGACATCTTCTGCAGCCTGAAAAACAAATTTTTATTTTTTCCATAAAACAACTAATTTTAATCAGCGAAGAAGTACCATAAAATATTATATTTATTCTATAAGTTTTAAATTATCTATTTCCTTCCCCCCCATATTTGATAGGAAGAATTTAATTCAATAAGTATTAAGTGACTTCTATATTCAAGGAACTGAGAATCAGATAAAAGTCCCTGCCTTCAAGAAGCTTACATTCCAGGAGGCAGAAGAGATGCACTTACACAAATAAGAAAGGACAAGTTAATTTTGAGATAGGAGAATGTATAAACAACTAGAAGGACCCAGAAAAGCTCCCCACAAATACTGAGCCTTGAATGATTCAAAAGATTTTAGGAGGTCAAAGAGACGACAGAAAATGTGTTCCATACACAAGGGACATCCTGTGTAAAAATGTGAAGACGCAGAATCATGAAACAGAACCTCAAGTTCAAAAACATTAAGTCAGACTATTTGACGGGAACATAAAGCACATACAGGGGAATAACTGAAATAAGTTTGGGAAGACAGCCTGAAATCAGACTGTGGAAGGTTTTAAATGTCAAGCTGGTAAGTTTATACTGATTTTATCCTAGAGGCATTAAGGAAGTACTTATAATACTTGAGCAGTAGAGTGACATGGTCATGCCTGTACATTTGGAAGATTATTTTGACAGTTTTGTGGATCAGAGATGGAACAGGCTGGAAACAAGAAATCTATTAGAAAGTTATTGCAAACGACCAGATGTGAGAGTTAACAAGGCCCTAAATTAATGTAGTGATTTTGAGGGAGAGAAGAGATGTAGTAAACATCAAGTTGACATGACCTGGCAACTAAATGAATAAGGGAGTTGAGGGAAAGAGAAAAGTCGAGAATGACTTAAGAGATTTTAGAACTAGGTGAATGGAAGGATACTGGCACCCTCAACAAAAAAGGAAATTTTGGAAGTATAGATTTGGAGAGAAGGAATTACATTCTGGACATTTTGAGTTTGAGATAAGCAGATACAACATCCAAGTAGACATGTCCAGTCAGCAGTTGGTGATGCAGGACTGAAATTCAGAACAAGGTAGGGAATACATATTTGGGAGTAATTTACATAGAAAAAAAAATCACTGAACCCATGAGAACTGATGAGATCACCAAGTAAGAATGAGTGGAGATAAAAGAAGAATACACTGGACTGAGCCTGGAGGGGAGAGACACCTATAGTCATGCTGTAAGAGGATCCATGGATGATGATGATTCAGGAGAGAAAACCAAGAAGGATTAGACAGGTAGGAAAAGAATCAGGCAAAAGCAATTAAAAAAAAAAATAGGGAAAAGAGTATCCAGGAGGAGGTGGTCAAGCAGTTTCAAAAACCACAAGAAGGATGAAACCTGTAGGCTTACTGGTTTTGCAAATAAAAGATTGTTGATAACTTTAGAAATGGCAGTTTCAGTCAAGTGGTGGAGCTGAAGCCAGGTTCAGGATATTGAAAAGTGAGTGGGAGGTGAATGGACAGCTTTTTTTTTTTCTATTAATTTGGTTGTTAGCAGAGAAGGGCCATAAGATAATAGCTTGAGAGGACGTGAAGGTCAAGCGAGTTTTGTTTGATTGGTTTGGTAAACATAGATCTATTCAAGTTTGTAGGCCACAAGGAAGGATTAAGGAGATAAAGAGAGACTAAAGATGAGAGAACAGAGATGAAGGGGCAAAGTTCACATAGACGGAACAAGAGAATGAGCAGATGATTAGCCTTGACAAGAAGAGCTACATTTTCCAGACTAGAATAAAGACAGAAAAGTAGCGGGATTATCAGGTGGAGAATGGGAGCCAAGGAGGAAGAAGCAGGTCATGATTCATGGACTGTATTTTTCCTTTTTGTTTGTTTTTTTCTTTGTATTCCCAGCACTTAGCACAGTGTCTGACAATTAGTAAGCGCTTAGCAAATGCCTGTTGATTGATTATTTTGGGGGGAGGGGCCCAAGCAGTTGGGGTTAAGTGACTTGCCCAAGGTTACACAGCTAGTAAGTGTCAAGTGTCTGAGGCCTGATTTGAACTCAGATCCCTGACTCCAAGGCTGCTGCTCTATCCACTGTGCCATCTAGATTGATTTTTAATAAAGCAGGGTCTGAGAGGAGATAGGATAGAAGGGAAAAAAGATTTAAGTGAGGAGTATAAGAAAGTCAATCAGGTAAGAATAAAGAATTCCCATGTAGCAGTGGGGCTCATCTAAGATTAGAGAAAATAAATTTATAATAACTTCAGTCAGCAGAGTTGTGTAACATCTATTTATTTCAGAAGCTCATGAGGAGCAGAGAAAGTGGATGGTGACAGCAACCTAGTAAGGCATAAGCCACAATGGTTGGTTAAGGGGGAAGCTACAAAGCATTTAAAGGCAGAAGACAATATAATTAAACTACAGAGTTAAGAGTGCAGAAGGAGAAAAGTGATGCCAGAGAAGGGATGATGAAATAGGGGAGCAGGGAGGGGCAAAGTGACTAGTGGTCACAGAAAGCAGTATCAGTTTAGCAGGTGTGAGGCAGAAAGAGAAATTTAAGGATAGGAAACTGTGGTCAGAAAAAGGAATTCCACAGTTAGAGGTTACCAATGATCCGATCAAGGATCTGGACTTCTTTGTGTGTGGCTGATGAAATGGGAAGCCAGAGGACAGCAATGTGTACACTGAAGACTCCAGGTATGAGGGCAAGAGAAAAGGAAGAAAAAGACTATGAACCAAGTACTAAACCCCTTAAGTGAAGGAGAATGATCTAGAAATTGGTAGATCACCTCTATAAGGAACTAGATAAAGTGAAATAGTGGAATCAATCTCAAAAGAAGTTGTTAATGAGTGCTAGTTTCAAGGGGAGAGGCTCAAAGTGGCAGTGAGAAATATGGGGTGTTCCCTACTCAACTTGATGCAGTGAGGGGAAGCATGGAAGGGGCAGAGGAGTGATTACTCTGTACAAAAAGACAAATAAATCTTCAGAGAAATGCAATTAATTTGTTTTTGTCAGTTCTACTCTTAACTGCCATATGACTACAGAATAACACTAATAAACTTCGTATGACATTATTAAAAACATTAATACTCTAAAATGTAATAATGGGTATAAAAGTATGTTCCAAGGGTTATGTGAAAAACTATTAGATTTGAAACAAGAGGACCTAGGTGTGAATTCTGTTTCTGATACATCCTACCTGCGTAGGACCTTTGGCAAATCACTGAATCTTTCTGGGTCTATTTTCTTGCCTGTAAAATGAGGGGGTAAGGTATTAACCTAGATCAGGGATGGGGAACCTACCATCTCGAGGCCACATGTGGCCCTCTAGGTCCTCAAGTGTGGCCCTTTGACTGAATCCAAACTTCACAAAACAAATCAAAGTCTAGATTCAGTTAAAGGGCCACATTTGAGGACCTAGAGGGCCACATGTGGCCTCAAGGCCCACAGGTTCCCCACCCCTGGCCTAAATCATCTCTAAGTTCTTTTCCAGATCTAAATCTATGATTTTCTATGACAAACAAATGTTTGTTACCTAAATATTTCATGTTACTGTCCTTCATATATTGTACAATGCATCCAAATTGGCCTACTCAATATTTTCCAAGCTCCAAGAACTGGACATTCCATCTTATGTTTCTGTGGAGGAATAGGTTATCCCCAATGCCTGGAATGTATTCTTTCCTTACTTTCATTTCTTAGAATTGCTAGACTCCTCAAAGATCTGGCTCAGGCTTCATGTCCTAACTGAACTCTTTCTTGATTCCCCAGCTGGTAGCATACTATGCCCCAAGTTACCTTGTATTCCTATCTATGTCCACATTGTATCCCTCCCATTATAACAGAAAGGTACTTGAGGGAAGGAATTGTTTCTTGTTATCTGCACCCTGAGTCCAACGTGGTATCTTGCACATATTAAGTAGGTACTTAATAAATACTTGTTGAACTGAATTACCAATTACCAAGGAAAAATTTCTAACAAATAACATATTAAAAAATTATTTTTCCTGAAAAACCATTATAAAACTTCAAGAGGTTTTTTCCACAATTAAAAATGGCTACAAATTTTAAAGTTTTTTCATTATTTATAAGGTATCAGTGAAATTACTGCATCAGTGCTTTTTATTAATGTTGGAAATGTTTAAGAATGCTGGCACATTTGTCACTAAGAAATTAAATTATTGGCAGCCCTTGACTTACTTGACCTATACATATACATATTAATGGTCTAGGTGCCTGTATGGGAGTGGCGTGGGGGTGGAGAAAAGGGGCAGGAGTTGAGGATAAGTAGGTGGGAAGGAAGAAGCTGAAACTTTTAAAGAATCCATAGGGCCTAAAAGAAAAACAGTTGAAGGAATTCATGGCAGATGTGCATTCTCAGGCAGGGCGGCCTTTGAGAATCACAATGTCAGCTTTTATTTTTTGTAACAGGAAAAATGGTTTAATTATTATAACAAAGGGTCCAAATCTCCAGGGAGATGAGGTGATTAATAGAATGGCATGGCATCAGGAATAGTATTAAAAAATTGGTGATTTGCTTCAAACAAAGCATCGTGATGGATCCAAAACAGTAGCTACAGACATCCAAGATATGAGTAGAATTTGATGGTCTTGTACCTGAGCTACCTTTGCCAGGAGTTAGGAGACCTAGATTGTAGTGTTCACTCTGCCACTAAAGAAACTAACCCTTTCAGGGCAGCTAGGTGGTGCAGTGGATAGAGCAGCGGTCCTGGAGTCAGGAGGACCCGAGCTCAAATCCAGCATTAGACACATAATACGTCCTAGCTGTGTGATTATGGGCAAGTCACTTAACCCCACTGCCTCACAAAAAAAAAAACAAAAACAAAACCTCTTAGACTTTCAACATCACTTTACATCTCTGGACTCTAGTTTCTGTAAAATGAGTGGGCAGGAATTAGATACAATGTCAGCTTTTAAAAGGGACCTAGCCCAACCATACTCATTTCCCCATACAACCTGAAATGTTTAAATTCACTTTATTACTCAGTCTGAAATT